GGCGGAAGGAGGAATTTCTTGAGTGCCTTATTGCTTGTAATCTGATCTTTGAGGTACAATATTCGTCCCTTTCAATTTCATGTAATTTATTTACAACGAAATGAGAAATTGATTTAAGTTTTTGCTCTACAATTATTTTCTGTTGATGTTGTGAATATCTGAATTAATCGAGTTTCTGGTACCGACCCAATATTGGGTCTCCCTAATTCGGAATTCTATACAACTTATCTTTGTATGTGCGTCTCTTATTGTGGAGACTTCTACTTTATGGATTAATTTTGATCCCCTGCGCTCCTCGATTATGTGTTTGTGTAAATTCCTCCTTACTTCTGAAGTCGTGATTTTAGATTTTTGCATATGCCTGGTGTTGCTTTCCTTCTCTGGACATTTTGCCTTCTAATAGTTTTACAGTTTTCATATTTTTTTGATGCATCCATTTCAGATTGTAGCCTTTCATTGAAACAAAGAGATTAATATCTTGTCCTTGCATTGTTAACTAAAATTGTTACTAGATTAAAATAAAAATCGAAACTCTCCTTCAACTAGGGAATTCATATGGTATAATTATTAAAAATTTCATACTTTAGCACAATTATTATAAATTTCATTCTGTAGTACGATTATTTAGAAAACATTAAAAAAAAGAGAGTGTAGAATAGAAAGAATTTCCATCATTCTAATTCAGAGATTACTGCTAATTCTCCGTTAATTGGTCTCCTAGGGATGTTGGCACTTGTCTGCGCTCCATCTACATGGCCAAAGGGATTTGGTGGCATTGTCAAATTGTCTGCTTCTCCTTCCAACATATGAACCACTGATTTCATTGATGGTCGGTCTGTTGGGTACCACTGGATGCACCAAAGTCCAACAATTGTAAGTTTTCTTGCCATCTTGGCATGCCCCTCATTTTCTATTCTAATCCCCAGCATTCCTCCTTTCTCCAAGCAATTATACATCCATTCTGGGAAATAAACTTGGCTTGTACTCCCCACTGTGATGTCAATATTCTTCCTCCCTCCTACCATTTCCAACAATAGCATTCCAAAACTATAAACATCTGATTTATATGACACTTTTCCAAAGTTCCTAGACAGTACCTCAGGTGCAATATATCCCATTGTTCCCCTGACTGCTGTCATAGAAACAACACTTTGTTCTTTGGAACACAGCTTTGCTAAACCAAAGTCGGAGATCTTTGGATTGAAGTTTTGGTCTAGCAAGATATTGTGAGGCTTGATGTCAAAATGAAGGATTTGTTGATCACAATCTTGGTGCAGGTACTCAATTCCTTTCGCTATTCCTATTGCAATGTCTTGAAGATTCTCCCAACTGAGGGAACGACTTTGGTTTCTGGTTGCAAAGATAAACTTCTCCAATGATTCATTTGGCATGTACTCGTAAACAAGAGCTCTTTTATTTCCATCTGCACAAAATCCAATCAAGCGAGTGACGTTGACATGATGGATTCTGCACATTGATCCAACTTCATTAATGAATTCTTCTCCAGTTGCTTTGAAATTGTTGAGGACCTTAACAGCAACCAAAACATCATTAGAAAGCCTTCCTTTGAAAACAGTTCCATAAGCACCTTCCCCTAGTTTGTCCCTGAACTGATCTGTTATTCTCTTGATATCAGCATAAGAATATCTTGAGGGCTTGAGTGCTTTGTAATCCTCCAGAAATTTCTCAATCTTGAGTTAGCCCTCTTTCTTTGATCTATATGAGTGGTGCACATGGTAAAGTCCAATGAGGATTATTACAAATAGACCGAAACCTAGGATTATGCCCGCAACAATCAGCAGCTTGATGCGTTTATCAAATCAAAATTAAATAATTAAATAAATAAATAAATAAAAGGAAGAAAGAAAGAAAGAGATAGAGAGATACCATATAAAAGCAAGTCAAAACCAAAGTACCAAAAGAACAAACACTAGGGCAATTGAACAACTAAAGTCAGGGAAAAATTTTAACAACTTAAAACAAGGCAAAATTAAAACATCTAAATTAGTGAGCATTGCAATGAGTATTCATAACATTGTGGAATAGTTAAAAGTATAAGGTTGTAGTTTTGAAGTCTAGACTGGCTAAAAAGTGTCAGTTTGTTTGGGAATGACCAAAATATCGTTAAAATATCATTCATGAATCCACATGCGAGTCATAATAACATTTATGTAAAAGCATATCTCTTTGATTCTTGGTGGTACCATAACACTCTGTGTCATCCTGTGTCCTATTATTATTCTTATGCTTGCATTTGCTGCCTACTTCTTCACATTTACTACAATTTGGTTGGGACCAACTCAAATGAACATCCCCTGTCTGGTAATACAACATTTCTTCGTATACCGTTGTCTCCGATATGTTGAGTAACGTTCTCCTGCAACTTAACAAGTTAAAAGCATGTGTATAATTGGAAGGAAAAGCTAGAACTTGGAAGCCTAGGACGCTTAAGCAAGGAATCTCGTAAAATTCATAATTAATACCCACAGTTGCTTCCCTTGAACAGTTGAAAAGACTGTACTTTGACTCTGCATAATTGAACGAGAAGGGAGTTTGTCTCAAGTACTGAAAGGGAGATGCTGATAAATTGAGATTGGGAAGTTGCAGGGGAAGGCAACCCTGAGG